AAAAATGATGAAAGGGATGGTTTCAGAGAAACCTGGGAAGACTGTATAAATGGATACAAATGAAATGAGTAGAACCAGAACAAGTTATATAATTAACATATATTTATATATATATATATATATATATACACACACACACACACACACACACACACACACACACACACATACATATAATCACGATAAACTCTACTGGTAAGTTTAGACTTTGTGAGAAACAAATTCCCTGTCCATGTACAAATCTGTCTATCTTATTTATCCAATGTGGGAATTTGTTTTACTTGACCATACATGTTTGTAATTTTTTTTTTGCTTTCTCAAGGAGAGTGAGAGGAAGTGGGAGGAAGGGATTTAGATACCCTCCCCCCACCACCACCACACGCACACTCCAGCTCCTGAGATAGCTCTCATCTCACAGAAGCAGCCCTTGCCTAAGGACTGTGGGATGGTGGTTGAGGAGGTAATAGATGCGGAACAATGAAGTCTTCCCAGGCAGGACACAATGATACATACATTGAATCTGGCTCCAATTTGTACTGGATTTGGTTTAAGAAGGCCTTGGTTCAAATCTGTTTAGCCATTTATTAAGCTTTCTGACCTGTGGCAATAACAACCTCTTTGGGCCTCAGTTTCCTTATCTGCAGAATGATGAGACTTTAATAGATGCTTTCTAAGGTCTATTTTAACTTTCAATCCTGTGAGACTGTGATTTTTAAGAAATCTTTCTTGGAACAACCAGCTTTGGTCATTTTATCAACCATTACAGAACCTTTAAAAAATACACTTAGCCCCTTATCCCCCTCCCCACCAATTTTCCCTTTTCACAGTTCTGGAACAATAACCAAATCATAGCTGCTGGTGCTACTGAAAAAAGTACATCCATGAAGGTTCCACTTACAGTCTGAATGCCCTTCTAAACCACAATAAATACCCTGTTCTCACTAGCCACGTCAGTTCCCAGTTTATGTTGTCACTTATTAAAAAGGAAGCTCCCTGAAAGCAAAGAGTGTTTTAGCTGCAGTTTTTATATTCCCAAGGTTGAGCACAATGCTTGGCACAGTTAAGTGTTTAATAAAACATTGTAAAAATTCATTCATTTACTGAAGTGAAATGGAGAAGTCTCAGCCAATGGTGAATAAGAAAAAGGAAAGTCAAGGCTTTAAGCCTCCCAGAAAAAAACCCTGAACACTGGCCCCAACTTTCCAGGGACAAAGTCTAAACCATGTCTTCCTACCTTGAGTGAAATGCCAAATATCTTCTGTTAGCTTGTAGCTCTTTATTACGCTCCTTAGAAAAACTAGAAGGAAGCCCCTGATCTCTGAAGACCTTTGCTAAATCAGGTGCCCACTAAGGTTGCAAGTTTTATGCATGGCTTAAACAATTACAATGTCAAATGTTTACACAATTATCATGCCGCATAACCCTAATTTAAAGAAGGACCCCTGTTTAGTTTTAGGATGCCATTTTCCCTAAGTATCTCCCTGAAGTTGTTTTAGAGTTCTTTAAGTAGTGGAAAGCGAGGGTGGGTGGTTCGGGGAGGGGGCGCTTTGGAAAATGAAAGGACGCAGAGTGCTTGGCTGCTGCAACCACGTGGCCATAGGGAATCAGAACACACCGCTCTAAACCGAGAGAGAGGAGTGAGCACGCACTATCGATTTGTCAGCTCACTATTGCTTGCGCCTGGAATACGTGGTGCGAGGGGGAACGTTCGGTGTTCGAGGGATTGAGCCTGAAGGAGGCCCGGGGACGCGCACGCCAGAAGGGGCTCGCCACTGACGTACATGTTCGTGGCCGCAGCCCAGCTCCCCGCCTTCTAGTTGACCGGTGCTTCGCTATTGTGGGAAACGGCTGCTTCCGCCGCCTCTCCGCGGCCAGCTGCCCGGGAGGGATGTCGAGGAGCTCCAAGGTGGTGCTGGGCGTCTCTGTGGTGCTCACGCTGGGCACAGTCGCCGGGGTGCACATTCGGCAGAAGCAAGACCAACAGGTCAGGACCACGTGATATAGCCCCGTTTTCCCCTCCCCCTATTTCCTCCAGTCCTGGGGAGGGACGGGATGTCTCGGAACGTTCTCCGCACGCGGCTCGCGGGCACTAGGCGGCGGTGGCTGCGCCTGCGCGCTCCGGGGCCCCGCCTCCCGGCTTGACCTCTCTCCGTCCCGCCACTTCCCCTTTCTTTTCGCGTGGTCCCTGCGCTGCTCCAGCGTTTTCGTTCGCGCTCTCGCCCACCGAAAGCCCAGCGGCTCGTAGTGAGGTTTCGCCGTCGTCGTCGTGACGGTGATATTAACTGTTGCTTTGTTCTCCGAACTTCCTTACCCACCTACAAAATGGGGCGAGTCTTAATATTACCACTGCGGGGGTTTGGTGTGAAGAACGGGCCTGTAAAACTCAAAACGCTATATAAACGTGAGTCGTGTTACATGTGCTTATGTCTCGTCCCCATCCTAGGCTGTAAGCTCCATAAACTCAGGGTGCTGCCGAGTATAGAGCCCTGGACCTGGAATAAGGAAGACCCGAATTCAAATTCGGCCTCACACGCTTGTTAGCTGTGCGGGTCACTTCTGCGTGCTGCAGTTTCATTTGTAAAATTGGATGATAGTAGCACCTCCTTCTCGGGGTGTGTTGTGAGGTGGTTGTAAATGAGATAAATAGTTATAAAATGTTTTGTAAATCTTGAAGTGCTATGTTAATTCTAGTTGCTGCAATTAACTAACGAAATATATAACGTATTATGGGGCTATTGTTAATTTATTATTATGTTTTAGCTAAGTGGAGAAGTGGTCGAAGTGCTAGACAGGAAGATCTTTTTGAATCTTCTTGTCTCACGCTTAGTTGAGGTGTAGCATTGGGGAAGTCGCTTAAACTCAATCAGCCTCAGTATTCTCTTCTGTAAAATAGAGATAATAATAGCTCCTACCTCACCAGGTTGTGAGGATCAAATATAATAAAATACGTAAAGATCTTTATCGAACTTTATCGTGCTATATGGGTTATCTATTATATTACTTACCCCAGGATCACACAACTAGTGCGTGTCTGAAGCCATATTGATCCTCCAGTCTTCCTGACTCTAGGAAGCGGTGCTTCATCTACTGTGATACCTACCTACCCTCTATGCAGATTTATCAAGCTTCAATTTGTTTTTTTCCAGCTTCCACTCTTTGCTTCTCACCAAGAACAAATCTAATCCCTCTTCATTGTGGAACAGTCCTTCAGATACTTGAAAACTGCTATCTTTTCCCTAGGGCTTCTATTTTCCAGACTCCTGGTTCTCCAGATACTCAAGTGGCATGATCTCAAGACTGTAAAATCTTCTAAAATGTAGTAGGCGTAATGCTCTTAGGACAGAGATAGTCTCTTTTATTTTCCTGTAACATCTAATATAGTACTAGGCAATCCAATCCATTAAAAATTTACTAAGCACCTGATATGTAAGGAATTGTACTAGTCATTGAGAATATAAAGACAATGGAAACCAGGCTTTGCCTTAAAGGAGTAAGGAGTTAATTAATATTTTACTGGGGTATATAGCATTTAAATAGGTAGGTATGTACTAGATAACTTGAGGGGACATCAAGTAATTTTTCAGAACAGGCTTGATGAATAAATGACTGAAGGAATGCTAACTAACAGCTTGTTCTCATTTTACTAATCCTCCACAAAAGCTAGTATCCTTCCCAAACTACTCTTTAACTTTAATGCTGTATTTGTGTTTACTTTCTTTAGATGTACATATACGTATGTAATATAAACATGTTTTATACATATGTTTAAGTTTCTAGAGAACACATTACACAAGTATGTGTGTGTGTGTATATATATACACACACACACACACAACATTTACACATACTTGTATCCTCTGTTGGAACACATTATACAAGTATATGTGTATATATGTATATAACATACATACTTGTATCTTCTGTTGGAATGTAAGCTGTTTGAGAGTAGGAATAGTTATAATCTTTGTATTTGTATGCCCAATGCCAAACATAATGCTTGGCAAGTGGTAGGTGCTGAATGAATACTTGTTTGATTATGTATGAGTTGTTTTCAAGTACTGAAGGTTGTCATTTGCTCTTTATTTGATCAACAAAATGATTACAAGTGATGAGTTTTATGAAGTAATTTGATACTCTTCCAAATATATTAAGTCACCTTTTGAGGGGAGGTTATTTTGGTGTTCTTTACTTCTTAGATAATTTTTACACCTTTTTTCCAACAATTTCACCTGAAGTAGGTTTTATTATACTTAATTCTTGCAGTAAATAAAAATATATTCTTTTTCCCAATTCTTATTAATGAGTGAAGATAATGATAACTGATAATATCAAGGTATTGTAATTTTTTTTTTTGGTGAGGCAATTGGGATTAAGTGACTTGCCCAGGGTCACATAACTAGTGTCATGTGTCTGAGACTGGATTTGAACTCATGTCCTCCTGACTTCAAGACCAGAGCTCTATCCACTGCGCCACCTAGCTGCCCCTGAGGTATTGTAATTTTAAGCTATAGTGAAAGCAATGTACTTCTAAATTGTTAGATCTTATTCTGATTTTTAAAAAAATTCTAGGTAGCCTTATTCTTTACTTTCAGTTAATTCTTAAGCCTTCAGAAGTTTTCCAGGAATGTAATGAAAATGTTTTGTTAAAATAACGTATAGTTGCACTTGTTAAAACATAAGATTTATTTGATGTTTATTAAAAATATCCTGTATTATATTGCATATTTGTAGCTAGGCTAATTAAGACAAACGCAATCTGGATTTGTAGTTAGAAATTTGGAAGTCTGAAGTGCGTCTTGGTGACACTTTGTTACTTAAGTTTGTTCCTTGTGTTTTAGAGGCTTCGAGACGGAGTGCTCAGAGACATAGAGAGGCAAAATCGGAAAAAAGAAAATGTTCGTCTTTTGGAAGAACAGATTATTTTGACTGAGCATCTTGAAGCAGAAAGAAAGAAAATGTTATTGGCAAAAGGTTCTCAAAAAACATGAGTTTTGAAGTGAATGAAATATTAACAAAACAGGTTTAGATTGTTTTTGGGTTTTTTTTTGTTTAGCTATGTTGTTGCGTAAATTAAGTGATTGCTTCCACCAATATAATATTTTCTGCCCTTTAAACATTTAAATAAAAGAACAGTGGTTTATATCACTTAAGTTTTAAAACTGCTTTAAAAATTCCTTCTATTGAAGTGATTTTAATTGTGATCATTCACTTTTTAAAGACAGCCACTTTTTATCTGTTATGAACAATATTAACTGGGTAACCATACCCTAGGGTTGTCATTGAAAAAAATTTTCCTGGCAAGAAAGGATGGATAATAATGTCCACATTAGTGGGCTGATGAGTCGTCATGATGATGACGCTACAAGGACATCCACCTCTGAAGGTCTGGAGGAAGGTGAAGTGGAAGGTGAAACCCTCCTGATCGTTGAATCTGAAGATCAAGGCTCAGTGGATTTATCTCATGATCAAAGTGGAGATTCACTGAATAGTGATGAAGGGGATGTGTCGTGGATGGAAGAACAGCTGTCTTACTTTTGTGATAAATGCCAAAAATGGATATCAGCCAGTAAGAACCTTTTATTTTTTTCTTTCATTCATTCTAAAACTTAGAATTTTTTTCTTAAAAAAAAAGTAACTGTAATTGAAAACTAAATGAGAATACCTTACTGATATTAACTTCATTGACTAAACAGAACTTATAATTTTCTAGGAAATTTTTGTAGTAATATAGGTTCGAGTAATATCTTAGTGTTACTTTTCCTTGAATCTTTTGGTAACAATTGTTTCACAAATCAAACATCATACTTTATTAAGTAATTAATCACATATCCTAATATGGAGATAGGGATTCTTGTGCTGGACTCTTAAGAGTAGTATTGTGTCTTAAATGGGAAAAAAATTATGTTGTTATATTGTAACTTAGCTTAAATCAAAATCAGTGTCTGAAATATTCACAGAGGTGTATTATTTGTAGGTTCAGTTTGGGAAGGGGAATTGTCTTGTGTTTTGCCAAAGTTAAACCTATTTTGGCCTCTTCTGCTTAACTAGTTACTGTAATCTTAATCTTATTACTGTCATCTCTCTAGGCCCCATGAGAATATGTATTCCTACCTCAAAATCTAGGAAAAGGCATCCATACAATCCTCAGCAAAAACGAATTTTATGAATAGTTATATTACAAAAGATTAAGCATCCAAATAGCAGTTTTTAGTTGTTTTTGTTTCCTGCATAAAGAGACTTATGAGAAGTTTTTTTGTACAAGATTTTTCATTTAATACGAGTTTTTTTAAAGTTGTAAAGTGGCTCATTTGCTGGAATATTAAAGCAGTTTATTCCTGTAGAATCAGATAAAATGATATTTGTATATTTGTTAAAATGGATTTTATCTCTTTTTTTGTGCAAATAACTTCAAACATTTTTATCCTGAGAACTTGGCTTAATTTGGCATTTTTTCCTCTTTTATCTCTTGCTGGTCTGTTAAAAGTGTTAGGATGCATTAGTAATGGTTTATAAGAAGTTTTGAGGCTAAGACTACTGCAGTGACAAATCATTAAAGGGAGAAGGAGATATGTCTCCTTGTTACCCTTCTCTTAACCAGAATTTTTTTCCTTGCACACAATGAAAAAGTTTCAAGGTGAAAGGTTGGCATCATAGGGACCCCATTCTACCACTGGAAGAAGTTTAAATAAGATCAAAGGAACCAGGTGGGAAAAATTGAACTGATAAAGTATGACTCAACTTTTTTGGCTCCAGTTATATGGAAAAACTGAAAAAGATTGTGTTTGTCTTTTACTTTGTTTTAGGTCAACTGAGGGAACAGCTTAGTTACCTCAAAGGTGATAACTTTTTTAGATTTACTTGTTCAGATTGTTCAGAAGATGGTAAAGAGCAATTTGAGAGACTGAGATTGACATGGCAACAAGTAAGTAAAAATCTGTTATAGAAGGGTGACAGTAGTATCTTGTGAAAATTTGGTTCGTATTATGGAAATAATATTAAAACAAAGAATTCTAGGTAATTGAAGAAATTTACTTCAGAAATTTTGGAGTTGTTTCATTATAAAAATGGCAAAACATGCATATCTTAACAGTTCTGGTCCTGTTTTTACCTAGATAACGAAAGAGTTGAACTAGTTTATCTCTGAGTTCCTTTTACTTACTTTACTTACTAACTGCAATCTTATTTTGCCTTGAAAAGAACTGTATTTAATATCCTACTATCTCCCAGTGGCTCTTCAAACCTTTTCATCAGTCAGGCTTCCTATGGCAACCCCCCCTCCCCCTTCAGTGAGAGCTTTGCTTCATATTTTAGTGGAAAAAAAAATTGAAACCACTCACAATGAACTTTCTCCCCTTTTTCTCATTGCAAATTACTCATGTTCCTTCTACCACTGACTTCTTCACCCCTCTCTCACATGTTGAGGTGACCTTAGACCTTACCAGTGCTAACCCCTGTGTGTTTTAAGTGATCCCATTCCATCCTGTCTCCAACAGATTGTCCCCTATCATCTCCACACTATCACTTATTTTCAGTCTCTCCCTGCTTATTCCTTATTTCCTACAAACATGCCCATATATCCCCCCATCCTAAAAAAACCCTTGCTTTATCCTTCAATTTCTGCTAATTATCTTCTTATCTCTTCTGCCCTTTGTGGCCTTCACAGTGCAAATTTCCTACCTTATCATTCCACTGAAACTGCTTTCTCAAATTTACCAGTGATTGGATGCCAAATCCAGTGGCCTTTTCTAAATCCTTATTCTCCTTGACCTCTCTGCAGCTTGACACTGTTGATTACCTTCTCTTTGATACTCTCTTCTCGTGAGGTTTTCTGGACAAGACTCCTGATTTTCCTTCTAACTATTTAACTATCAGTCACCTTTTCTGGATCCTGTTTCAAACACATGCCCTCTAACCATAGGTGTTCTTTCTGTTCTAGTTCCTCTCCTTCCTCTAGACTGCTTTTACTTGGTGATCTCATCAGCTTCCATAAATTTAATTACCATTTCTATGATTATGATTCCTAGATCTGCCCATTCTGCCTCAACCTTTTGGGTGACCTTTAATCTTGCGTCTCCAACTACCTATCAGACATCTCAAACTGGACGTCCAGTAGACATCTTAAACTCAACATATCTGAAACAGAACTCGTTATTTTTCCCCCTTAACATTCTCTGTTACTGTAGAGAGTAACACCATCCTTTTAATTCCTCATGTTTACAGTCTGGGAGTCATCTGGATTCTCCTCACTCCTTCCTCCCCAATATCCAATCTATTGCCAAGGTGTGTGGATTTCTCCTTTGTGACATCTCTCAGATATGCCCACCTTCTCTTTTCTGATGCTGCCACAACTCTGGTGCAGGCCCTTGTCACCTCACATCTCGGACATTGCAGTTACCTGCTGGTGAATCTGCCTATCTGAAGTTACTCCTTGCTCCAGTCCATCCTCTATTCAGCCACTGAAGTGATTTTCTGAAAATGCAAGTCTGACCATGTCATTTACTTAATAAAAGCCTGTGGCTCCTTGTCACTCTGGCTCAAATACAACATCTTCTGGCATTCAGAGCCTTTCATAATCTAGCACCCTGCCATATGCTCTTCAGTCCAGTAATAACTGGCTCCTGGTTCCAGGCAGAAGGCAATCCATCTCCCAGCTTTGGTTTTTCACTATGCCGGGAACACTTTCCCCCCTCATATCTATCTACTAACCTCCCTGGCTTCTTTTTAGTTGGAACTAAAATGCCGCCTTCTGCAAGGAGCCTTTGCTAGGTCCTCTTAATTTTAGTGCCTCCCCTCTGTTAATTACTATTTATCTTGTATATAGCTTGTTATATATGTTTGTTTGTTGTTTTCTCCCATTAGATTGTGAGCTCCTTTAGGGCGAGGACTGTCATTTGCCTCTTTTTGTATCCCTGGTGCTTAGCTCAGTGCCTGATATTTAATAGGTTCTTAATAAATGTTAATTGATTGAACTATATAAAATGTTTGCTCTTAAAAATGTAAATACTTAAATTTGGAGATTCATGGAAGACCCCTAAAAAGATTGTTTTCTCGTGTAAATGCCATCTTCTGATTTTAATGAAAAATATGGCTGGTGTTTTTCTGACTAGCATTCAAAAAACAAAGTTCTTGTTTTAGGGGGAAATGGGAAGAATAAAGAAATATGGTAGCCTACAATCTATTATAAATATGATTACATGATTAGTCAGATTCTTATTCCGTAGATTATGCTATTTATCTAATATTGTACGCAAGTAGTCCCACCAAAGATGTAGTTTGCAACCCCTTTCTTCCTGCTTGGGTTGTGTCACACTTGTCCCCAAACTCCTTTAATTTTCCACAGAGGGGTCTACCTCACACGCTGAAGGCTTTCCTCATTAACCCAAAATTTCAAAATCCCACTATGAAATCCTTATTAAAATTTATTGGCAGGACATATTTTTTTTTAAAGAAAATAATAACAATTTAAATTCTGTTTATGCAATACTTTAGAATGTAGAGCTAGAAGGAGCCTTAAAGATATAGTTCATTCCCACTGTTTATTGATGCAGAAACTCTAGAGAAGGGTTAAATGACTTGCCAAAAGTATTATAGGCAACAGAAAGAAGCACAACTAATCTATCCCTCTAAGCCAGACTTGTACCTTTTCTGGAGATTGAAATAGCAACTAACTGTTTTAATGTAAAAAGAGTGCCTCACATGTCCTTTTGTTCTAGCTCTTGTTGATATAATAGAACATAGGAGAGACAGAGTGGAATAGCACTTTTGGATTTGCAGGAGACTTTGAGCTGAAACTAACTTATTAAATTGTGTACTCTGGGAACATTTTGGCCAGCATAAATAGTGAAAATCATAGTAGAAATTTTATTTTCCTCCTTACCATTAAAGTCTCTGAATTGTACCTTTGATATCTGATTTATTTGGATAGTTGCAGTAACTCTTAGCTGCTTATATTTTTTTTAAGTTGTTCAAGACATCTCTTTTGTCTTTCAATTGTTCTTTCCTGTTCCTATTGGATTTGAGCTACTGGCTTTGCAGTATATGTGAAATGATGATGAAGTTTATCCATTCTCTGAGTGTGCTGCTGTGCCCTTCCTGCAGTTCTCAGCTCCTGTTCTAGGAACTGAGTTATGTAACCTCCAGATGCCCTCCAGATTTGCAGTGTTCTACTGTAGATGGTAGGTGTGTGTGGTGGTCTTACTAGTAGGAAGGGATAGTGTCAGCAGAGATGGAACCCTATCTCTTTAGGGTCCCATCTTGCCAAGACGAATGACTGGTGTCTGATCACATGCAGCAAGCCTTTAAGCTGTTTCTTTAATAATGACCCTACATCTGAGTTGTGAGTTCTTTGAGAAGATTTCTGGTCATTGTTCTCCTTACATATGGGTGAGAAACTTTTTTCAGTCATCTGTGCCATCATCAGGCTTATGTTTTGTCTGTCGATTCCATTAATCAGTTTATCTTATAACTATGTAAGGAGTAGGCAGAAAGTTTGAGTGTAAAGAGTGCTAGACTATAATTCTAATTAGAGCAGTTCTTTGAGGTCCTTAGTTTGAACTAGATCATTTCTGGTATCTGTTCTGTGATTCTATAATTGAGAAGAAAGACAGAAATTAAAGGCATTAATTTTTTTTATCAAATCTGCCTTCAGATGCAGTTTTTTTTAAGTATAGAACTAAATTAATTTTGAAAGTTAAACTTGTTTATGTAAAATAAAAGGGCAAGGTGATATAGCAGAAAGAGTGCTGCATTTAGTCAGGAAAGATCTGGCTTCTAATCTCATTGTGATAAACCAAATTGCTTAAATTCTCTTAACCTTAAGTTGCCTCTTTTGTAAAATCAATCAGTTAACCAAATAAGCACTAATAAAGGTTCTAGTATTGTGCCAAGATGCTAGGAATGCAGTGGTATAAATGAAATAATCTTTGCCCTCAAGGAGCTTATATTCTGTAGGAGAAAGACAGCTGCTGTACATAAAAGTATATACAAAATAAATGCAGGCCATTTTTGTGGACAAGGCTGTGGTGGCTGGTGGAATATAATATGTGAAGATAATGGTACCTATATCTGCCCCAGTGGATTGTTATGAGAATCAAATTAGATAAAGCTCTTTGGGAAATTTAAGGTACTGTATAAATGTCAGTTATTTTCTTTATTCTTAAAAAAATGAACTCATCTGAGTGGCCAGTGCTACTTCTTCACCATTCCCTGATTCCCCCTCCTTCAGTTAGTAATAACCTTTCCTTCTGCTATGCTTATATTTCTGTGAATGTGTGTATCATTTTATATTATAGTATTTGTGTTACTTTATAAGTCCCATGAGAGCAGGTATCATGTGTTATATAAAATTTGCATTTCTTCCAGCTTCTAGGATACTATCCTGTATGTACACTGTAGGTAATTTGGTTAAACAAAAAACCCTTTTATTATGTCTGAGGTACCAGTACTATTCTAAAGACAACAGGTGTTATTCTTCAGAAGTTCACATTCTAATTTACTCAGATGACTGTGATATAAGATAGCAAGCTAGGTGGCACAGTGCTTGGAGGCCTGGGCCTAGACTAGAGTTCAAGAAGATCTAAATTCAAATCCACTTACTAGCTGTGTGAACCTGGGTAAGTCACTTAATCTCTGTTTCTCTAGCTGTAAGACAGGGGTCATAATAACACCTACCCTCTCAGGGTTGTTTTGAGGATCAAATGAGATAATATTTGTAAGGCACTTAGCATGGTGCACATATTAGATGCTAATATTATTAAGATAGCTTATAAATGTAATCAGGCAAAGGAAAGGACCACACAGTGTGTTATGAGAAATTTGAAGACAGATTATTTTAGGGATAAGGTGTTAGAAGCTGTGGTTATGGTGGCAAGAAAGTCAAACCTGAGGTGGTTATTAGAGGTCAGAAGGGACTTACATGGGTGGAGAATCAGAGTTGGGAAAGGGAGGAGTCCATTAAAACATGGGGAGTGGCTTGTATGAAAGAAGTGGGGTTGAAGAAAGTAGGATGGGGACAGAGATCCTTGGGTAGAGATAGGAAAAATTCCATTTAATTCCTTTAAAATAATTTTATTGAATGGCTGTCACATATGTGCATAGCAGTGTGTTAGATTATATCCTGAATATGCCAAAGAAATAGAATATTTATCTTTCATTTTTTGGGAATAGCATAGGGTTGGCAGCTTACTGTAGTGGACAAAATATTGATTAGGCAGCTTGGTGGCCCATTGGAGAGAATGCTGTACTCTTCCAGAATCAGGAAGATCTGAGTTCTAATTCTATCTATGTAGCCCTTAGTTTCATTTTCACCCACCTTACTCATCTGTCAAAGGAGGGGTTGGACTCAGTGGTCTCTAAGGTCTTTCCCAGCTCTAAACCTAAGATCTATGAAATTGGGACACCGCTTCACTTATTTCTGCTGCTAATCACCTAGTGACCTTGTTGGACAAGTCACTTAATATCTCTGGACTTTAGGTTCCTTATCTGTAAATAAGGGTTCCTGACTAGATGCTTTTAAAGGCCTTTCCATTTCTAGAGTTATTTTTTTCGTGAGGCAGTCAGGGTTAAGTGACTTGCCCAGAGTCACACAGCTGGTGAGTATTATGTATCTGAGGTCACATTTGAACTCAGGTTCTCCTGACTCCAGGGTGTTCTATCTACACTGTGCCACCTAGCTGCCCCTAGTTCTGTAATTCTTAAGAATTTTAAGAATCTGATAGTAAGACCTAGTATACAGTGGATATACCTGCATAAAGAAATTATGGAAGTCAAAGAAAGTTAGAATTAGATTATTTGAAGCATCACATTTAAGGAGCTATTTTGTTTTGTTAAATATTTCCCAATTTCATTTTAATCTAGTTTCTACCACACTAGGGAGTTTTATTTTATTTTTTTTGGTGAGGCAGTTAAGGTTAAGTGACTTGCCCAGGGTCACACAGCTAGTAAGTGTTAGGTGTCTGAGGCTGGATTTGGACTGAGGTCCCCATGACCCCAGGGCTGTGCTCTATCCACTCTGCTACCTAGCTGTTTTCAAAACAGGAGCTGTTTTGAAAGGAGCAGGTTCTCTTGTTGGGCATGCTGTTTGGTGAAATGGTTATTTAATTTTGTGAATAATTACGTTCTGTTGATTGTGATGTTTCCAACCTCTTATAAACTCAAAATAACCTTTAGAGAAGTCCTTTCAGAATCTGACACAAATTGTTAAAAAGTACACATTCCTTTAGATCCAAAAAAATTGGCTAAAATATTTTTTAAGGATTTAAAATTTCTTTGAAAAGAGACATTGTTGCATAGTGGAAAGAACATCGGGCTGAGGGGAGATGAGACCAGGATTTAGGTGCTAGCATTGCTCTGTGACTTTGGGCAAATCATGTAACTTCTCTGGAACTCAGTTTCCTCCCCTTAAAAGAGCATTGAATTAGATGATTTCTCAGCTGCCTGACAGTTCTAAATGCCTGTGTTCTTTTTCACTCCTTTTTTTTTTCTCATTTGTGTGCCAGGTTGTCATGTTGGCAATGTATAATTTGTCTCTGGAAGGAACTGGACGCCAGGGTTATTTCAGATGGAAAGAAGATATTTGTGCTTTTATTGAGAAACATTGGACCTTTCTACTAGGAAACAGGTAAAAAATGTTTATCTGAAATTTGCATGTTGTAGAAGGTAAATAATACTACTAGATTTGTTTGTGTTATCTTAACCTATTCACTCAAATGAGGTATAGTACTTAGTGTGGGAATCACAGTGACTATTGTCTTTACTACAGTGATATTTGCAGGTCCTAAAAGTCCTGTTAACAGCATTTATTGAGCCAGAAGAATGGATAAAAACCAGAAGCTTTTTCGAGGAGAACCCTTAAAGGAACATATCAAATTTCTGAATAGGAAAGAATGGTGATAGCTAGAATATTAAAAGTGCTCTTTCCCAGGTTGGTCCTATTACTCTTATTCTTTTAAACTCTTAAATCAGTTAGTTACTTATATTCATTCTTTTGGCACTTACATAGTGTTTGGATGAACTTATACTGGCTCAACTAGATTCTAAGTACCTTGAAGGTAGTATTTATGCTTCCTTTATATTCCCTACTGGGCACATGCTAGGCACACTAAATATTTATTTCATTAGTTTTTTTCATATTAGTGTCATTACCATTGAACTATATTTTTCTTAAACTTTTATCCATTCAGTGAATTTATGGGCCCTTCTGACATTTTACTATGCTATTGAAATTGATTAAATCTACTTATCTTTGTTTGAATTTTGTTCAAGATTCTGAATTTATTAGATGCTGTATCAGGTCTTGGATAAGATGAGTAAATCTTGCACAATTCAGTGACTAGATGTGACTGAAGTCTCTGATCAAGTCAGAGCAGGATTTTATTAATTGCTATCCTGTTTAATATAGTTTTCTCCAAGGTAGTGAAATAAATTTCCCAAATAGATTCTGTAGTTGTTGTTTTTGTTTTTTTTTTTTTTAAAAAGTCTTTCAGGGTTTGCTGATGTTGCTGAGAATATTTTGGAGTGAGTGAGTCACGGGTAGTATGTGACCTTATGAGACCTTGTAATGAGAGGAATTGCTAAGTTAAGAGAATGTTTTATGATAGGGGACGTTCTAGTTCCCATTTTATTGGTGTTAAGAAAAGTTGACAACAACAAAGGATTCTATTCTTAAAAAAGGAGGCCTATTCCCTTAGTATAGTGATTGGGCTTTTTTTTTTGTGGAACTTGTTTGGTGAGAAAGAAGAAAATGAAATTATAGCTTTGAAATGTTTCTGTGGGTTTTATGAGTGCTTTTTCTTAGGAATGGTGTCTCTTTGTAAGAAGTGTGTTTGCCAAATTTTTGTCTGTTTTTTAAAAATACTGTCTGATTTGATGGAATTTGCTCATTTGTTTTTCCTTGTTAATTAACCCTGAGTCCTGGAGTTTGTTTGGAAAGTCATCTGCTCAGGGCTGACATTATTTTCTTTAAACTTCTCTATATATTTTTTTGCCATTGAATATAACATTCCAGCTACTTTATCTTTACCTTAGCTACTTTCAGATCTCTGTTGAAAACTCTCCTTCTGCAAGAAGCCTTTCCCAATTGTCCTTAATATTAGGACCTTCCCTTTGATACTATCTCTAGTATAACCTGTATATCTTTTTTTGTGTGTATGGTCTTTACATATTTTCTCCCCCATTAGACTGTGAGCTCCTAGAAAGCAGGGACTGTTTGTTGGGTTTTTTTTTTTTTTGCATTTGTTTGTATCCCCGGTACTTAGCATACACAGTTGTCATTTAATAAAATACTTATTGACCTTCTTTTCAGATGTCACTCCTTATAAATGATATAAAGGGTCTTCATAAAATCCTTGTGCAATTTAAAAGTTTTAATAATTGGGACTTTAGGTGAGATGAAAACTGCAAATGTTTAAACAGGCGTTTATTTCTTACAGTTGAAATGCACTGTGATCTTTTGTAGCTATGTGATAATACATGCCTAATGGAAGTAATCTTTTCTTTGTCACAGGATCTGAAATAAGAATGTTTTAAGTTGCTTTTAAATGAACTTTATGAATTGTCTGTAGCATACTTAGAACCTAAATAATTAAGATTACAGGGTGTGTATAATATTTCTATTCAGCTCCAGACTTAAGTAACTTTTTATTTTTTTCTTTTTTAGTAGACCTGTGATTTTATCAGTATATATATATACAATTAGATCATAGAAAGTCAATGAAAACTTGACTAGTAACCCAACACTCACAATTTAGTTTTCTAGGTTTCTATGTATCATCTTTAATGACATGAAATAATTTTTTCTGGGTTTTGTAAGTTAATATTTGTTGTTCTAGGTTAAAATTTTTCAAGGGGGTATGTTTTTATGACCAAAGAACAATTTGAATATATCTGTTTCTAAAAGTACATTTTTTTTATTACGCAAAGAATATGTAAATACATTGTATATGTTTTAACAAGAAATTCCTGAGGGAACATCACAAGCTGGCTAATGTTCCTACCATGGGAAAGTGTTAGGTTTGGTAAAATATTGTGTACTATAACAAGAAAAAGGTTTGGATGTAGATATCCTTGAGAGTACATAGTATAATTAATGAATTTGCTCATTGTTTTTCAGTGTTATGAACATTATCAAATTCCAATTTAAGAAACAGTTTCATGTTATTTTCTCTTTGAGGCCTCCCCTTTCCCCAGAGAAGTACAAGAAGTGATCCTTCATGCTTCATGGTAGAAACAAACAAAAAGAGATTGCTTTCTCATATTATTTCTTATCGACTCAACCTATATCTATTAGACACATGAGCAAAGAGGAAGAAATGTGAGATTATACTAATCTGTTGTTGTGAAAGATTGAGGTGCAAGTCTGAGGCCTCATGAGTCTTTTCAAACCTGTATTAAAGACATCAGTGTCTGACTCTTTGCCATGGTGTCACAGAGCGCTAAAAGGTGTTTTTAGAAGAGACCCATGACTGGGGAAAATGGATTTTTTCATTTCTACACCCAGGTGTTGGTGTGTATGAGGGTTTCAGAGAGAGTGGGAGTATACCTTCTACTCATTCATCACTTTGGAAGGGTTGAAAGGGGAAAGAAGGGTACTCTGGAATGGAATACTATTAAAGCTGCAATTAGGCTGTTACTTCTTATCTCAAATACATCTCATACTCATTGAGAAAAATAACATTTTTGCGTTTTCTGATTAGTTCTAGTGTTTCTAAATAACCATTTCTCTTTTACCACTCTTTGCTGCCCTGTTTGCTTGCTTTGGTGTATTATCCATGTAGTGGAATACAATTACTGTGAAAGATTATTTTCTTGCGAATCTTCTAATGTATATATTTAGGCTCTGGGGAGTAGACCATGGCCTTTACATTGAAAATGTTCAGAAGAGGGTATAAAAGAATTCTCTTAATTGCTTCTTTCATCATATTGTCAAAGCACACTTTGAAAGATTTTTTCCCCTATTAAATAAATTAAAGGCTCCTGGGACGCAGCATCTTTTTCAATCGTGCTTTAGAACTAAAGCAATTTTCCACAAAATGGAAGTTGAAAGTCAATAATTTCCCTGAAGTTTAAGCCCTTAGAGCCATGCAGTTCTAGTTCTGCTTCAGTACTTAAAAACCAGTAATGGGTGTTTTTCAAAGACACACAAAGCCCTTAGGCAAAATGAACTAGCCAGGGCAAAAAACTTTTCTGTGTCACAGATTCCCAAGCTTCTAGGAGTAGAATTATAACACCTTGTTTAATTTCTTGACATTTGTTCAATATCACATATATTTTTTAATACCTTAAAATGAATTAAAATTTGTTTCCTTGAACATCTCAGTAATACTACTTAAAATAAACATTGACTGCCAGAAAGTCACATTTGTTGAAATATACAGGACATTTATATGCACCTAAAAATCGTCGTCAAAGAGGAAACCTATAGAATTCATAATTTTAAATATGCTTTGTCCTTTTTATAGGAAAAAGACTTCAACCTGGTGGAGCACAGTAGCGGGTTGCCTTAGTGTGGGAAGCCCAGTGTTTTTTCGCTCAGGTGCTCAGGAATTTGGAGAGCCAGGATGGTGGAAACTTGTTCATAACAAGCCCCCAACAATGAAACCTGAAGGAGAGAAATTGTCTGCTTCTGCTCTGAAAGTAAAAGGTACCTGGAACAGTACAAGAGGTGCCAGGCAAGCCAAAGTCAACCAAGTTTAAAGATAGGAGATCTAAAGATAAGAGCCCTGTTTTTAACTGGAATAGCTAGTTTGTGTCCATGGAAGCTCCTTTGTTGGTATGTTCTGTATGACAAAATTTTATAAGCTTTTTTTTAAAATTCAGCAGCTTTCTCCTTTTACTAATAAAAGTGGCTGTTCTGTAATTTGCTTCAAGTATTTGAAAATTTCTTGCTCAAAATCTGATTTCTAAATATCTCTGGCTTTTTAAATTCACACATTTGGTGACATTAAAAAGCCTTATTTTAGCATAATTAGGCATTCTCTCAGCATCTTCTGAGTATAAAGCATTGTACTAAGCAGGTAGCCAGATGAGTAGCCAAAGGATCTAAAGTTGAATGCTTGTTTGTCAGTCAATAAACATTTGTTAAGCGCTGTGTCTGGCATACAAATCATAGTGGGGATTCCAATCTGAAAAAGAAAGACTGTCCCTGCCCTCAAGGAGCTTACTATGGAAATGGGTGAAGACTGCATACAAAAGGAAGCTAAAAAGGAGGGGGAGGGAGTCACGGGAGTGTACCCCCCCTCTAGGGCTTGAGGTTCTTGGGAGTCAAATAGAGCTGAACAGCTTGTGGTAAATGAAGTTTGTTGGAAATGTCTGAGCCCTCCATGTAAGGGGAGGTCTTGGGAGGAGTTGATTCTTTTGCCCTCCAGCCCTTTAATCTGGAGGGACAGGCCTAGTGTCAGGAGGTATGGATTCGAATCTCTGTGAAACCTATCTCCAAGATAATCAGATTTTCGATGGTGAGCTTTAACCTGGGGAAGGCCTGATCAGATGTTCCTAGAGTTAGAACCAAGCAGGACAGCTATTGGTCAATGAAGAGTTTAGATATATACATGGTGAATGAATGTTTACATATTAATTGTTTTTCTCTAGCCTCAAAACCAGCTTTGGATCCCATCATTACAGTGGAGGGGCTTAGGAAAAGAGTGAGTCGAAATCCTGTGGAATCTGCCATGGAACTGAAGGAGAAGAGATCACGAACTCAAGAAGCTAAAGATATTAGGCGAGCACAGAAAGAAGCAGCTGGTTTCTTGGATAGAAGCACATCTTCTACCCCAGTGAAATTCATCAGCCGGGGCCGTCGGCCTGACATAGTTCTTGAGAAGGGAGAGGTGATTGACTTTTCATCTTTGAGTTCCTCTGATCGAACCCCTCTGACAAGCCCATCTCCTTCTCCTTCTCTTGATTTTTCTGCTCCTGGAACTCCAGCTTCCCATTCAGCAACTCCTAGTCTGCTGTCAGAAGCCGATCTTATTCCAGATGTAATGCCACCACAAGCCTTATTTCATGGTAAGAATTACGTATTAGGTTCTGCTAAACCATCACAGTCTTCTTCACTTTGATGAATTTTGTTGAATATTTATATTTATTTAATATATTTAAATTTTAATGTGTACTGGACAAAATATAACTCTAAACCGGGTTTTCAGACATTCTGTCATTTAAATTTTTTATCTTAAATACCAGAAGAAGAGCATTTCTGTTTACATGCAGAAAACCAAAATAGGGCTCTATATGAAACTGAATTTCTATTTCAATGATTCCTTGCTTTTTAAAAAGTATGTAATAAAATCTACGCGTTACTTTCAAAATTGATTGTCTGTGCTTCTTTCCTAATTTATTTTTCTTTTTTGTGCATGCATCCTTTACAAAGTTTTAGTGGCCCCTCCCTTTTTTTTTTTTTTGCATCCCTGTTGCCAACACTCCTTTCAGTTCAGAAGAGAAAGAATGATAAAGAGAAAACCCTTGTAACAAATTAGCTTAGCCAAGCAAAATGAATCCACAAGGGCAGTAACTATGCTCAAAAATGTCTGTCTCTACACCTTGTGTCTTCACCTTCTGTGGGTAACCTGCTTCATCACAGATTTTGGGAGACATTTCATCATCACAGTCATCATTTCTTTTTTATTTTTTTAAAGCAAATTAGTGTTATTTTCAGTTTTGAATTATTTCCCCCCCATTAAAAGGCAAGAAAAATAATTCCCATTACAAATACATATATTCATACGATTCTTGCATTACTCATGTCCAAAAGAAAATATACTTCAATTTGTACTCTGAATCCATCAGTTCACTATCTGGAGGGTAGATAGCATGTTCCACCTTGAGTTCTTTTTTCTTTTTCTGTTTTTTTTTTTTGGCTAGGCAGTAGGATTAAGTGACTTGCCCAGGGTCACAAGGCTAGTAAGTGTTATGTGTCTGAGGTCGGATTTGAACTCGGGTCCTCCTGACTCCAGAACTAGTGCTGTATCCACTGTGCCACCTTGAGTTCTTTAGAGCTGTGGTTGGTCATTGTGTTGATCAGAGGTATCTGAGTATTGTTATTGTTTAAGTTGTTCTTGTTCTGCTCACTTAACTTTGCATCAGTTCATACAAATCTTCCTGGGTTTTTCTTAAACCGTCTCCTTCATCGTTTCTTACAGCGCAATAGTATTCCATCACATTCATATGCCATAATTTGTTCAGCTAGTCCTCAATTGGTGGACATTCCCTTGTTTTCCAATTATTTGCCACCACAAAAAGAGCTGCTGCAAATATTTTTGTGCATATGTTTTCTTAGCCTCTTTCATTGAACCCTTTGGGATATAAATATATAGTAGAGGAATTGGAGAGTCAAAAGGTACAATGTCAGTTTAATTGCTTTTTGGGCATGATTCCAAATTGCTTTCCAGAATGGTTTTACCTAGTTCACAGCTCCACCAGCAGTGCATTAGTGAACCTGTTGAACCATAGACCCTCAAGCATTTGTCGTTTTCCTTTTTTAATCTTCATAGCCAATCTGATGGTTATGAGATGGTACCTCAAAGTTAGTTTTATTTGCATTTCTCCAGTTATAAGGGATTTACAGCATTTTTTTAGTGTGGCAGTTGATAGCCTTTCATCATTTTTTGCAGCATAATACTATTCCATTATATCCATAAACCATAATTTTTGCAGCCATTCCCAAGTTGTCTAAGAAGCAATCTGAAATTTTTCCTTAGATTCTAGTTCTTTGCCTTTCTTTTTTTTATAACTTCCCTTCCCTTTATTAGCTTCTCACCTCTATATTCATTCTTCCTGTTGAGTTTGATGTATTTCTAGACTAAATTGTGTGTATGTTCAGCTCTCTTGTCCATTTTAGATTAAGAGTGAGATTTACCTGATGTCTGCTTCCCGTACCTTGCCTCCAAGTTGTATACTCTTCTCCTGTCACAATTATGAGAAATAGCAGTTTCCTCACCCTTTTATTCTCTTTTTTACACTAGCGTATATTCCTTTTATTCTCCCTTGTCTTTGCCTTCTTCAAACCTCAGAACCAGTCTGCCCCCAGAGCCTCTCCGTTTTCTTTCTTAGCTCCCTTAATATACTTTCAAGAAATTAAGATTCTGAAGGGACATTTTCTTCTCTATTAGACTAGCAGCAGATTATCATTGAAATGCTTTAGAGTCTTCTTCAATTAAAGGTCTATTTTTTCTTCCCTTGTAGAATTATATTCCATTCTGCATGGTAAGTTATTTTTGATTGTAAGCTTATCTCTTACTTTTTGAAATATTGTATTCCACTATCTGATTTGTAGTAGAAATTGCTAGGCCTTATGTGATCTTGACTTTAGTTCCTTGATGCTTTAACAGGTTGAGTTGGGGCTTTTTTTGTTTGTTTTTTTTTTTTTAAACTTGGGAGGTCTGACATTCCCAAGACTGTTTTTAGAGTTCCTTTCAGGAGGTGCTTGATAAATTCTTTCTGTCTTTACTCTTTGCTTGTAAGAGACCCAGACAGTTTTCATTTGTGATTCTTGTTTTTTAATCGTGGTTTTCATAGAGTTCAGTGGTTCCTAAATGATATTTCTTTGACCTATTTTCCAGGTTAGTGCAGATACTTTGTTTTCTTTTTTTCAATCATTTGGGTTTTCACTATTTCTTGAGTCTTTCGTTTTCTATTTGGTCTATTATTTTCAAGGAGTCCATTTCTTGAGTAAGATTTACCCCTTTTTCTTCTAAGCTACTTATCCTCCCAATTTTTTTCCTCTAGAGCTTTTCTTTCCTTTTTTCTCTTTCTTTTAACTTGGTATTCATGTAATCTTTCTTGAGGATCCATTTTTTACTTTGAGTCTTAAAGTTGGGATGGAGGTACTCTTTTGGGGATCTTTAGGTTTGCAGTAATTTTTAATAGTATTCTATGTTTTCCTGGATTTAGTAGTCTTTCTGGCTTTCACTCTTGAATTCAGGCTTTGGGGCAGGATCAGGTTCTGCTCCCTGCTACTCTTTTGGGTGGGATGGTTGGCGGGAAATGCTTTCCACTCTAAGTTACTTTGTTTCATTAATGGCTTCCCTTCCTAGGCAGCAAACAAACAAGCATTTTTTAAGCACTTAATAAGTGTCAGGTACTCTGCTTAAGTGTTGCAGATAACAAAAGTGTGGAGGGGAACAGTTCTTGTCCACAAGGAGTTTACTTTTTTTTTTCCCTTTTTCCGTGACTTGCCTAGAGTCACACAGCTAGTGAGTGTTATGTGTCTGATGTCACATTTGAACTCTTGACTCCAGGGCTGGTGCTGTATTCACTGAGCTACCTAGCTGCCCTGTGCTCTTTTTTTTAAAATTTAATAGTATTTTTTCTAATTACATGTAAAGACAATTTTCAGCATTGATTTTTTTTGAAAGATTTTGAGTTCCAAATATTTTTCCCTCTCCCAAAGACGGCAAGCAATCTGGTATAGGTTACACATGTGCAGTTATGTAAAACATTTCCACATTAGTCATGTGAAAGAAACAAAAGGAAAAAACAAAAAACTCCAGAAAGGGTGAAAATAGTATACTTTGATCTGCAATTAGATTCCCATCAGTTCTTTGTCTGGATGTGGATAGCTTTTTCCATCATGAGTCTTTTGGAATTGTCTTGGATCATTGTATTGATGAGAAGAGTTAAGTCAATCATGGTTGATAATCAAACAGTGTTCTGGTTTTGTAAGGAGCTTACATTCTAAAGGAGGAAGACAGTACATAAAAGTGAGCTGAAAATGGGGAGTAGAGAGGGGATGGAGGTACCCCCAGCAGGCTGTTGTGGTAAAGTCCAAAGAGTCAGAAGCCAAGCTGGGCAAGGATTGGTCTGTTACCAAAATGTAGTCCCCTAAAAGTAATTCACCAACGGGGAAAGGATGTGCTAGAATGAGAAGGCAATTTAATGATAGTCTGAAATCTAGACCCTTCCCAGGGGTGGTCACATTCTTAGCATTGCTGGATCTTCAAGGCCTTCATTGGCATCTCAGCAGGGTGTTATAGACCTCAGAATCCCTGGGCCTGAGCTCTATAGGTTTCAGTACCATGATACCACACTAATTGATGATTGTTGTCCTGATTGCCAGGACTTTGTAACTGTCCTATGGTTTTCCCAGCGTGTCCTTCCATTCATGCTTCCTCCAGACATATGCTATTATTGCAGGCTAGATGTGTTCCATCTCTGGTGGCACTGGAATGCAACCCTGCACTAGGGCTGGCTTTGCTGGAGGGGCTCGTTTTCCTATTGCTCAGGATTGTGGCTGATTTTTTGGTGCAGTTTTGGGATAGAAGTCACTTTCTATAGTTTCTCATTGGATTTCCCGATCATCATTTGGTCTGATGAAAACAAAGAATTTTTGCTGGAATAAGTATGGGGGAGCTCAGGTGCTCAAGCACCTGTCTTAGCAGGAAATGTCACATTCTTTGATTTTAAAAACATCTATGTAATTTTATCACTCAGCCAAAGCAATGTAAACATTTTTCTATGTGCTGATTGGGATGATGATTCTGTAATAATTAGAGGTATGTTTTACCATTTGCTATAAAAGTATTGATAGGTTATTCTGAAAAATTTTCTTTCAAACAAAGGCTACGTATGATAAGGATTATAGGAAACGTGGATGGATTAAATCTACCATTAATAACTCCAATCTTAAAAAATTTTGTAAAGTCTTATTGATACTTTTTGTTTTCGTTTCATGTTCATTTTCAAATATATCTTTTCTCCTCCCTGCCCAGTGAACCATCTGTTATAAAAGATTAAAAAGAAAGGAAATCAGCAAAACCAATCAGCACATGAGATAAGTCTATCGATATATGCAATATTTCATATCCATTGTCGCTTCCACTAATGCAAAGAAAGGGAGGGAAGAATGCGTTTTCTTAATTCTTTTTCAGGAATAAAGGTTGGTCATTAGAATTACATAAATCATTCGAGGTTTGGGGGTAGTGTTTTTTTCTAAATACATTATTGTAGTCATTTGGGTATTTTGCTGTTTCTGCTGACTTCATTCTGCGTCAGTTCATGTAAATCTACCCAAGTTTCTATGAATTCTTCATACTTATTCTTTGGTAATATTTGATTAAATTTACATGGCATTTTGTCTACCTGTATGCCTGTTGATGGTCATCTATTTGGTATAGATAAATGAGTTCTTTGCTACCACTAGAAGTGCAGATATGAAAATTTTGGTATATGTGAAACTTTCTTTTTGCCTGTTTTTTTATATGCGTAGAAATTAAATCTCAGAGTCAAACAGTATGGACATTTTACTCACTTTTTTAGTATAGTTCCACATTGTTTTTCTAAAGTGGTTGGACACTTAGCTCTACCAATGCTATTTTTCTGTGCTGGTCTTTTTGTAGCCCTTCAAACAGTGATTATTATGTTTTGTTACCTTTGCCTGTTTGCTGAGTGTAGAATAAAACCCCAGAGATGTTTGATTTCTATTACTTATTTTAGTGATTTGAAGCAGTTCGAAGCAATTCCTTTGAGAATTATTTGTCCTATTCTTTGATTAATTATCTGCTAGGGAATGGCTCTATTAATCCTCTTATATATCTTGGATCTCACGTTGTCATCAAAGATATTTGATATTCAAATAATTTTTAAAACTTTTAATATCTTTACCAGACTTTTTACAAAAACTAACAACAAGAAACACAAATTGGTTTGACTTGTATACTCTATTTGGGTGGAAAGAAAGAGATGGGAGAGAAAAACAGCATAAAGAATGGAAAATTCATGGACTGAATATTATGCTGCTTTATAACAATATTTCTATAAAGAGAAACAGGACAAGACAAAATAAAGTATATATTATGGCCAGTGAATGAATTCTTGCCTATTTTTATTTACCTCTGCCTAAAATGGCAATGTAAGTTCACCTCACTTTGAACAATCTTTGAAGTCCGTTAAAAAACATTTGGGCCATTAGCAGTGACTTGTGCTAAGTGTAATTAAGTCCTTGCTCAAGCAGAAACTGATTCAGCTGCCATCCTTAACGGTTTATAGTCATCAAAGAAAAATTGTTAACACCTGATGCCTCAAATGGCTTTTCTAATGACTTTCTTGGTGATTTGTAAAACACAAGTATTGGGGCTTTTTGGGGGGGGGGGTTTGTTATACTTGGTTTAAGTTTGGTAATTTTTGATTTACATTATTATAAGTCCTTAAAGGGAGTTGATAACTTTGGTTTTGAATGGCCTTTTGCATTTTGAACAGGGTTCATCTAGCTATTTTGAAAAAACAAGAAAATTCATTTTCAAATGGGCGTGTCTTTACAAAATAATGCCTGCATAAATAATGCCTTTAGTTTTCAAATAACTTTCACAGCTGTTATTTCTGTGTTACAAATAGACCGTGATAAAGTAAGGTAATATGGTGTCATTTGAAAGGACAGTGGACTTAAGAGTCAGGAGAAACCTAGGTCAAATCCTGGCTGTGATACTTAATAGCTGTGTGAAGTTGGGCAAAGTCAACTTCTCTGTGCCTTCATTTTTTCATCTGAAATAAAGTTAATATCCATAGTATATAACTCACAGGGTTATTTTATTTTGAATAAAGAACTTTTTAGACATTAAAATCTGTATAAAACACTAGTTGGTTTTAGATAGCTAATATGTCAAATTTGGAGCTAGAACCAAGGTCTTCTGCTTTTTTTGAAAAAAAGGCCTCCGCTTTAAAAAAAAAGATGTTTTGTTGAAAAACTTAACCCTGAACGTTAGTACAGCCACGTAAAATTGCTTAGTATTTACATTTAAATTAATTTTAATGAACAAAGCATCATAATTTTTTTTAGCTGCTTCCTCTTAGTCTCCATTAGACTTTTGTTCCCATTTACTTTTTAGGTATTTTTTTGATAGTTGTTGTTGTCCTTATACTTGTAGATCTTAAATGTACTTCGTTAGATTGGAAGGCATAATGGATAGAGGACTGTCCTTGGAGTCAGTGCTTTAGGATTCTTGCTTCTGGTTCTTAGAACTTTGTGGTCATGATTAAGTCATTTAACCTTTCAGTATCTCAGGCAGCTTCCTAATGTTATAAATTACTTATGAATTGCTAACATAGATTATTGCAAGAAATATCCGTATTAAGAGTTTCCTGTGCCTTTGAAATCATGTCTAGACGTCCTCCCCCTAAAACAATTCCATTGCATTAATGTTCACTTTTTTTTAACTATTCTGCCATTGTTGGACATTTAGTTGTTTATACTTTTTTGTGATTATATATGTTTCCATGAAAATCTTTGGACAGCTAGCTCTTTGTTGGTTTTTTTTTTAAATTTTGCAGAGTATATTCCCAGTTATGAAGCTGTTGGTCAAAGGGTATGATAATTTTTGTAACTTTTACTTAGTCCTGCTAGATTAATCTCTTCAAAAAAGATATTTATTAGTTTGTGCTTCTATCAATGAATGGATTTAACCTTGTTTTCACAATTCTGTCATTATTATGTTTAATAGGTCTGTTAATTGAATATTGAAGGTCTGTTCTCTTTGTATTAAACTATCCTGATGGTTATTTTCTCATCTCCATAGAAAATTTTTATTTTACCTAGTAGAATATAAACCCTTTGAGGATAGGGATTGTTTAGTTGTTATTTTGCCTGTCACATGGTAAGCAGTAAATAAATATTTGGCATATTCAGTTACTATTAAAGAGAGTGTGTGTGTTCATTTAGTGTTTTTGTTTGTTTGTTTGTTTGTTTTGGTAATTCTTTGTTTTTATGCCTTGTCTAGATGATGAGGAGATGGAAGGAGATGGCGTTATAGATCCTGGGATAGAATATGTGCCCCCTTCTACTGTATCATCAAGCTCTGGGGCAGTGGTGGGAGGGAGAAAGAAGGTGAAAGCACCTGAACAAATCAAGCAGGAGGTGGAGAGTGAGGAAGAGAAAACTGAACGGACAGAAGCTGATAGTGAAGACACTGAAGATTCAAGTACGTCCTTACAAACACGAACAAGAGAAAAAAGGAAGCCTCAGCTAGAGAAAGATAGTAAATCAAAAGGTCCCAAATATACACCCATTAGCATTTATGAAGAGAAACTCCTCCTGAGGAGGCTTGAGGCCTGCCCCAGTGCGATGCTGGTGACTCCAGAAGCTAGGAGGCTAAAGAGAAAATTGATTGTCAGACAAGCCAAGAGAGAGAGAGGATTGCCTCTCTTTGACTTGGACCAGGTTGTTAATGCTGCCCTTCTTTTGGTTGATGGTATCTATGGAGCCAAAGATGGAGGAGCATCAAGAATTCCAGCTGGCCATGCCACATACCGAACAACCTGTCAGGACTTCAGAATCCTTGACCGTTATCAAGTGAGTGGTGCCAGAGGCAGAGAACCAGTAAAGTACTTTAACTGGGCAAATTCTGGTTTTTTAGAGTTTGTATGTGAAGGATTGCTGTAGAAAAGAATATATTTTTTAAATGACTGGACTTTTTCTTTTTTGAAAAATTTCTAACATTTTAATTGCTTCATTTTGTTTTGATACAGCAGACACGTCCTGACATTTGAACGTATAACTCACTCTATATTCCCTGAAAATAGCAAAATGAAGCTGTTTAATAGTATGAGCATGACTGATAATATGTTTTCCTTACTATATAGAGCTTCAGAACAGATTACAACCCATATATAATTTAGTGAACAAATTTTCAAAAGTTGTATGAGTCTCAGAGGCTAAATAAGTTGCCTGTGGTTATATAGCTGTTATACTCATTAAGACTAAGTTTCTTGAGATCAGGAACTGTTGTTTCCTTTTTTATGTATCCCCAATGCTTAGCACAGTGCCTGGCAAACAGCTGGTACTTAAATGCTAGTTGATAATTGATTGTAGGAGGCAGGATTTGAACATAGGTCTTCCTGAAGATCAGTGCTCTGTCTGCTCTACCTCACCACCTCTGGTATATATTCTTTTCTTTCCTTTTTCTGCATTAGGTTATTTTTTATAAGGCTATTTCCTAAACCATAAGGGTAAAGTTTAGTAGTAAGAGCTCCTTCTATATAGCAGCTATGCTCTTAGGCTGGAAAATAGTATCTAGCTTATACCACTCAACTGGCATCTGGGGGAACCAGAAGACCTCCTGAAAAAAAACAACTTGGTCAAAAAATTCATGTATCCTCAGCTGTGTACACTTCTAATCCTATTCTGACCAATGCGTTCAACCTGTAAATAATGTTTTCTTTGTTATTGTGTAGTTGTTTGTCCTGTCACAGTCTTTGTGACCCCATTTGGGATTTTCTTGGCAAAGATACTGGAGTGATTTGCCATTTACTTCTCTAGCTCATTTCACAAGATTAAGTGACTTGTGTAAGATCACACAGCTAGTAAGTGTCTGAGGCCAGATTTGAACTCAGGAAGATGAGTCTTCTGACTCCAGGCCTGGCACTCTATCTCTTGTACCTAGCTGACCCTAATGTTTTCTTTTAGTGTAAATGAAATTAACCATGTAGTATTTATGTGTATTGTATTGTGTAAGCCTAGAATGATAGAAATCTAATGGAGTTGGGAGAAATGTGATGAAATTATGCCAGTTTATTAATCTCTGTAGTTGAGGATTTAAAAGCACAGAAATTTTAGAATGGTAGTTCCTGTAGCAGGTATAATCCCAACCACTTTTTAAAAACACTGATTTTTTTTTTCAGACATAGCAAGAAAATTGCTTTAAGATTTTGAAATGTTTTATTCTAAGATATTTGCAGCAGAGTTATTCTTTCATAGGTTTTTAATATCAAGATCATCTATAAAGTCTGCAAGATTCTTAAGTTTTTCAGATGGGGAACAGGACTTATGTTTCTGGTCACATACTTTTATTAATCTTATCATGTAACCAATTTTTCTTTGTCTTAGACTACCTTGCCATCCAGGAAAGGGTATCGGCACCAGACAACTAAATTTTTGTCCCGATTGGTAGGATCAGAAGATATGGCAGCAGACCATAGTATTGTCAGCCCCTTATACTTCTCGGGTATTGAAACCTTATATCAGGTATATGTAAATGAGATTTAATGTCATGTTTGTCATTGAAAGTGATCCTTTTTTACCTTGTTTGTCAGAAGGAGAATGGAGGTGAGGGTTAGTTTCTAAGTAAAAGTTAGGGTGGCTTTATTTTTCAACTATTCATTCATCTAAAGGCTAGACATCTCCATTTCTTTCTCATCCTTTTTTTCCTTTTGTCGTTTAGGCTGTTGTCCTCTTCCTGAATTTTCATTACTGATCTCTTGCATTTTATTTTGGTAGTTCACCTGATCTATTCTCTCCTATTTCATTCTTAATAGTTTTGAAGGAGAGAGATTTTGAACACACAGCCAAGTTTCAGTTATATTTTGTACTGTAACACTTATCCAGCGATATGACTTTAACGTGAAACCAGCATGAATCTTGCAGTTCTAGTTAGTGCCCTACTCTTGAGCACACAGAGCAAGAACAGTATTATTTTTTCTTCTTTTCCTTTTCTTTTCCTTTCTGTTCTGTTCCTTTCCATTCCGTTTCTTATTTTTTGGGCTAGGCAATGGGATTAAGTGACTTGCCAAGGGTCACACAGCTAGTAAGTGTTATGTGTCTGAGGCCGGATTTGAGTTCAGGTACTCCTGAATCCAGGGCCAGTGCTCTATCCACCTACCTGCCACCTAGCTGCCTAAAGAACAGTATTATGTGGCAAGGTAGGGCAGCACAGTTCTCTGAGATCATCACATAGGATTCTCCCATTGTAGTGAATAAAAATTCCAGATTATGGGAGGACCTCAGCAAATATAAGATTTGTGTTTTCAGGTTTCATTCACTTCACATGTCCATACCTGAAAGCAAAAAAGATAGCTTGGGATAACAGGAGTCAGAAAACCTTGGGAAAGAAATAACAGAACAAAATGATTTAGATTATCTAATTTTTCACAAGAAGAGATTTTTAAAAAGGATTTAAGGATTTTAAGTTAGGGGGATTTTAACTTTCAGTCCAACAGATTCAGAGTAATGGTTAACTTTAAAATGAAGTCAATAAAAGTCTTTTTCTTAAAATTCTTAGTTTTTGCATGGTTATGGCTATTTAATGATCTAGGAAATAAAGTTGTGGGGAGGTGTGGAGCAGCATCCTATGTTAGTGCCTAGCTGGACAATGTCAACGTTGTAATGAACACCATAGTAGTTTATAATAATGGGGTCTATTATTGGAATAGGCAAAGCAGACAGAAGTTGAATGAACTAATAACTTCTTAATCCCTAGAATTGGTCATTTCAGGGATAGAGTCATACTCACTAAGTAGGAGCAGACTTGGGTCTGTATTATTTGTGCCCCACTTATTCTGTGCTTGTATGATTTTTACTTTCTGAGTCTTCAGTCTAACTTTACTTAACCAGCGCTAAGTTAATGGGACAAAAATTTCCTTAAACAATATTTTGAGTATATTGTTTGCATGCTGCTTTTCAGTTACAAAAGGAGAATATTATTTCTGACTATCTCAGTCCTATAAAGAAGAACAGGTTATCTTGAATTTTCAAACATAACATGTGGTTTATGATCATCAAATACCTTACAATAATAAAGGACTTTTTTTCATGGTGGTGTTATTTTGCGTTTTCATCCTTTGATACTGGGAGGCGTGATTACGAGTCAAAACCACCTAAGCTTCAGCTTCTGGCTGAGATACGTGCCTATCTGCATAAGAATGATGCCAGTTGGAAACCAGAGCCTGAAGCACCGATTGATTACTGCTATGTTCGCCCAAATCACATCCCAACAATAAACTGTATGTGTCATGAATTTTTCTGGCCTGGTAAGATATCTCTGATCTATATTTAACATTTCTTTATTCACTAAACCAAATAATCTTCTATGTCTTTCTTTAATAGATGTTTTTAGCATCATTGTTAAAAAACTGAGAATTGTAGAATGTTAGAGTTGGGAGGGACCTTAGACATCAAGTCCAAACGGCCCCCTTCATTTTACAGGTTAGGGAGCTGGTTCCCAGAGAGACTGTCTAGGGTCACTCAGTAGAAGAACTAAGACTTGATTCAACTTTCCCGGTCCCCATCCCTTCATTATACTCCTTCAGACTTGTACTCATCTTTTAGTTTTCTGAGATTAGACAGAAAAGCAGTTAAAGTAGTGAGGTGCCTTTGTTTGGTTCCCATGACCTGTCTCACTACTTTCAGAATGTGTTTCATCCTGTTATCACAGCCATGCGGTATTAGAGACTGCCTGCAGAGGCCAAGTAATCCACTCTTGCCTGAGCTTTGTTCTTGTTCATCTAGGCCAGTGTCTACAAAACCAGATAATGTCTGTCAGCATCAGCAGATTACTCATTTGTATCAGTTGTGACATTTTTGTTTTCTACTTCATAGGACCATAGATTTAGAGCTGGAAGGGACCTTTAGATGTCATCTAGTCCAACTCTTTACAGATGAGGAAACTGAGGTCCAGACAGGGTAAGTGGCTTGCCCGAGGTCATATAGGTAGCGAGCTGAGAGCCAGGCTTGGACCTGGTTCTTTTGCCTCTAAATCTAGCATTCTTTCCACTAATCCTGGTGCCTCCCAAATGATGCTTAATGATTTGACTATCCTTTAGTGCACAAGAGCAAGGATTGTATTAATTCACAATAAGGAGTGATGGAGGCAAAGAAGAAATAAAGTACTCCAGAAATATTTAAAGAGGAAGAGAAATCTATCAGCTAAGGAAAACAGGGATACATAGAGAGTTGGTTCTCTGGAACTGAATCTTGAAGGAAGATAATAACACGTTTATGTAGCACTTGTGCAAAGTGCTTTTCTTACAGCAACCGTGGGAAATAGTATTACAAGCAGTGTTATCCCCATTTTACATATGAGAAACTGAGACTTGGAGAGGTGTCTCATTAAAATGTAAGGTTCTCAAGGGCAGGGACTAATTTTTTGGGTTTATTTCTCCAGCATTTAGCACAGTCCCTGGCACATATTAAGCACTTGATTGATTGACAGGTTAGTTGGCTTGTTCAAGATAAAAAGTGGCAGAACCATGATTTGAAGGCAGGTCTTTCCACTATCTTACTGCCTCTCAGGATTCTAAAATATGGAGATAAGAAGTGATTTCCAGGCATGGAGAACAGACTGTGCAGATGCAGAGGTTGGAGGTAGTTTATCAAGTTCGTTCAGCTAAAGTGTAGGATTCGTTGTGGTGAGTGATGTGAGATTGTGCCAGAAAGGTAGGTTAGAGTTAGGTTGTAGAGGACCTAACGTTTTTCTCATATCTATTTATCCAGCCCTACCCTTTCTCCTGACCTGTAGTCATCTTAAACTCATAATGTCTCTAACAAGTGGTTGTCTTTCTTCCTGAGGGCAACAATATTCTTGTAGTCCCTCTGTATGTCATATCTGTTGATGAAGCCTGCTGAATTCATTTTTGCGATGTCTGTTGAATAAGCCATTTTCTCTCTTCTGACCCTGCCATCACTCTAGTGCAGGCTTTCATTTCCTCACTACTTGATTATCCCGATAGCTTGCTGGTAGGTCTTCCTTCCTCACGTCTTTCCCCACTCTAATCCACCCTCCCTTCATTCTCTAAAGTGATTTTCCTGAAGTATAGGTGTCTCATTCCTGTACTCTTTAAACTTCAGTGGCTTCCTATTCCCTCCAGGATCAAATACGAAATGCTCTGTTTGGCATTCAAAGCCCTTCGTAACCTACCGTTGTTCTCTTTTCAGTTTTCGTACACCTTACAGTATTCCATCCTCCTGGCTGTTTCATGTGTTTCACAACCAAAACACTCTGTTTCTTGACTGTAGGCCTTTTTTCCAGCTGTCTTCTTTCCCTGGAATGCTCTCCCTCTTCATTTCTGCCTGCTGTCATCCCTAGCTTCCTTTAATTCCCAACTAACATCCCATTTTCTACAGGAAGCCTTCCCCAACCCCTCTTCATTTATCTTTAATTCCCCTCTGTTAATTATTTACTATTTATCCTGTATGTAGCTTCTTTGAACATGTTTGTTTGTTGTCTCCCCCATTAGATTGTGAGCTTATTGAGCATAGGAACTGTTTTTCCTCTTTTTTTCTATTCCCACCACTTAACACAATACCTGGTACATAATAGTCCTTAAATGCTTATTGACTGACTGACTGACTGACGTTTTCATACTCTTTCCCAGCTTCACCCTTACCATAAACTTTTCTATTTCTTTAAGTGGCACCACCACCCTCCTGCTCTCCCAAGTTTTCAAGCTCCCAGTCTACGTTTCATTCTCAACTCTTTCACTTGAACTTACTCCATATATCCAATCTGTTGCTAAGTCACATCTTTACTACAGTTCCTATGTACATCTCCCCTATTCACATAGCCGCTGCAGGGACTATTGCTGTTACCTTTTGATTGGTTTTCTTGCTTCAGGTGTCCTTACACCAATTCTTCTTCTTATCTGCCAAAATCGGGTGGAGGTCTGACCATGTCATCTCCCTACTTGATAAATTCCATTTTATTACTTTCAAGATCAAATTTAAAATTGTTGGCTTTTAAAGACCTTTATGACTTTAACCCTTCTTGGCTTTCCAGTGTTACAGTTTACTGCCTTACAGTGACACTGGCCACATTGATGTTCCTCACATACTACATATCTCCCAATCCTGCGTTTTTTTCCCAATATTGCTTTTTCACTGGTTGTCCGCTGTGCCTGCATTTTTCACCCGTCTCTGTGTCTTGGTTTCCCTGACTTCCTTCAAGAGTCAATCTAAAACCTACCTTCTACTAGAAGTCTTTTCTATTCTTTCCTACTCCATACCTCCCCACCCCCATCCCTATGTTTGCCTCCCATTTACCCAGTGTATGTTTTATAAATATCTGTGTGCATGTGTACATATAGATATGTGTATCTGTACATATGGAACTATGTGTCTTATATATAATTGGCTTTCATGTTGTTTCCCTCATTAAGATGTGAGCTTCCTTAGGGCAGAGACTATGCTTTTACCTTTCTTTATATCCCCAGCACTTAGAACAATTCCTCAAATGTACTAACAACGTGATAAATTATTATTGACTGACTGGATATTTAAGAGTCTGCAGTTTCCCCTAGAGACGGTAGGGAACCACAGAAGGTTTCTCAGCAAGCAGAGGAATGACTTGGACATTTGGGAAGATTATTTTCCCAGCAAAGTACAGTTTTGATTGGAAAAGGGAGAGACACACCCAAAGGGGGCCTATAATAACAGTCTTTCTGAAGAGTAGTGAAGACTTGGGCTAGAGCAATGGCATTGTGAATGAAGAGAAGAAAATGGAAGAGACGAGTGTTACAGAAAAGGCATAATTTGTCAGCTAATCAGATGTGAAGGTTGAGGGAAGATTCCCAAGATTTCAGTGTTGGGTAACTCGGGGGATGGTAGTGTCTTTAGTAGACAAGTTTGAGGTGGGGAGAACTGGGGGCATGGCTGGACACAGTTAAGTTCAAATTTTCTGCATTTAAATTTAGGGGCCAGCAGGATATCTAAGTAGAAATGAACAGCTGGCATCTACTAATGTGGGAGGAAACCACAGGAGATGTTAGGGCAGTATATATAGATTTGGGAGTCATTTTTACAGAGGTGACAACTGAAATGTGAACTAATAAGTAGGAGAGAAATTGGTCTGCCACTCTCACTCCTATAAAATGTGGCGCTATTCAGAACTTGCCTAAGTTAAGCATATGGTTGTCTGAAACTCAGACGTTCATTCTAGTTCCTATTCTGTGACTTTGTATCCTTGGGCAAATGACTTCACTTTTCTGGGCCTCAGTTTTCTCATTCCTAAAATGAGATCAGATTAGAATATCCCTAAGTCCCTTCTAACTCTAATATCTTTTTTGGTTCAGTTTGGCTTTAGAGTACTTTAATGATTAAGTCTCTAGAGTTAATTTTTTTGTTTTGAATGGTAATTTTTTTGCACATACATGGTGTGTTTTTAGTCTATAAGTATAGGTTTTTCATTGATTTCCCAATTATATTTTTAATACTTGATGTAAGAATTGCTTTTAGTTGCCCTATCTCAAATTCCATTTGTTTTCTATCTTTAGGTATTGACTTGTCAGAATGCCTTCAGTATCCAGATTTCAGTGTTGTTGTTCTTTATAAGAAAGTCATTATTGCCTTTGGCTTCATGGTTCCTGATGTGAAGTATAACGAAGCTTATATATCATTTCTGTTTGTTCATCCTGAATGGAGGAGAGCGGGAATTGCAACTTTTATGATTTATCATCTTATTCAGGTAATTTATCCATATTTATAATAGAATGGAATGGAAAAGCATTAAGCAATTATTAATGTGCCCAAACACTGTTTCTGGTGCTAGAGATTAAAAAAAAAATAGAAAAACAAGACAGTACCTGCTCCCAAGGAGCTTATATCCTAATTAAAGGAGAGCACATGTAAAGGTAGGTTCAGCTGCAGGGCAGATAGGCCAATTGGTAACCAGGGTGCAGAGGCCAGGGCATTTTGAATTCCAGATGTTCTTAGAGTGCAGTGGCAAAACAGATGACAATGTGTAGAAGTCCATAAGACATAGCATCAACTCATCATAGCACTGTGAGGATCTGTGTGCTTGGCCAGTGTCTTCAGAAAGGGGTAATGGGTCAGAGTAGAGCAGGACCTTGGGTAACCTCTGGTGGAGGGTGAGGGTGTGGGGCGGATAGCTCAGCCTTCTGCCAAGATGGAAACTGGGTATTAAGAAATGGGGCAGATGCAGCTAGGTGGTGCAGTGAATAGATCACTGGCCCTGGAGTCAGGAGGACCTGAATTCAAATCGGCCTTAGACACTTGACGCTTACTAGCTGTGTGACCCTGGGCAAATCACTTAATCCCATTGCCTAGTGCCCCCCCCCAAAAAAAAAGGAAGAAAAGAAATGGGGCAAAGAAGTAGAAGGACTCCCCTTAGACTGTTTCTTCTGAGCCCTTGGGAACCTATTGGGATCCAGGTGGAGGTAAGTATGTTAGAGTAAGGGAAGGGAAGGTCATAGTCATTAGTTTTCTAGGCCTTTTTGATCATGACCTAGGGGAATAACAGGGCCCCTAAATCAACTCAAAATAACATCAGTCAGTAATGTGGAAAGATTTATGAGTTGTTTGTTTGTGTTTTGTTTTGTTTTTTAAACTAAAAACTTGAAAACTAGCATTTGCTGGCATGGATTTGAAAGAAACAAGCTTATGGATAAGCGTAATAGGTAAAACATTTTAAAATGGAAAAAATATATACCCTTCATTCTTTTTATTATTATATGTTTCCTTTAGGTTTCTGACATTATTATTGGAGTCATCAACACCATGGTACTGATAAATTGAGGAAGGGTGCTGGAAAATGTTTCACAGTCCCTAATTTTTTCATCACGTTCAACACTGTATTGAAAAATTCATATGTGTATGCTTCATTACTTCTCATGCCTTTACAATTCTATTGGATTTCCTTTGCTCAGATCTTCATTTTTAGTTGCAGTTGGGCCTAAATGAGATTTTTCATCATTTATGAGAAATATTTAATGACATTTAAGCACATCTTAAGTTTCCTCTGAAATTTACTGTCATTGCTTTGTGAATATATGAGTTGGGGACTGACAGATAGGGTGAGGCTTCTAAGATTATATGTTATTGGGATAGGGATAAGTCTTGTATCTATGATTTCATTGGCAGTGGGTACTCTCTTAGATGAGGTAACTCCTACCCAGTGAAAGTCAGCATAGTCTCTGAAACTCAATCTTAAAAGTGTTGTTTGGGGGCCTTGAGAAGTTAAAGTGACTTGCAAAGGGTTGCCTAGTTTTCTCTGTGTGTGTGTGTGTGTGTGTGTGTGTGTGTGTGTGTGTGTGTGTGAGATAGGGGGCACTTGAATCTAGGTCTTCCTGGCTACGCTACATTATTGATAGAGTGAGTTATATTTCAGCCATAAAACATAGTCTGTATTCCCCATGCAGAAAAATACATTCTATTTATACACTCCCATTGGATTGACTAGATTGTTGGTTTGTGTATAAGAGATTTTTTTCTGGAATTTTCCCCAAAATTCTCCATTTTCAAATATGTCTCAATACGGAATTACAGGTTAAATAGGCAGACTTTTTCAGGAGACTAGAACTGACAAAAAGCTGTTTTTCCAGTTCTTATTGGAACTGGATCCAGAGTTTCCAGATGTTGGCAGTTCTGAAAGTCTTCCTGTCTGAACAGTGATCTTTCCCTCTTAATAGTCCTGTTATTATCTATACAACTCATGTCTGACCCTCATCCCTGGAATGCTCTTCTGCATCTCTATCTCTTAGAGTCTCTGCTTTTCTTCAAGGCAAATCTCAGATCCCACTTTGTATAGGAGGGCTTTTCAAGTCTTCCCAGCTACTAGTGTTTTCCCTTTTACATACTACCTTTTATCTCATCTGTAAATATTGTATGTGTCTAGTTATTTACATGTTTTCACCCAGTTGGGAGATAGACTCATTCAGATGGGGATTGTTTTCTGCCTTTATTTGTGACCTTCCCCAGCACTAGTGTCTAGCACATTAGTGAGAAATTTTTATACGTGGCTTGGCGGACCTAGTAACCGCCACTTTGTCTTGATAGGGACCGAGTATGGAGTGTACAAGTTCCCTCTGGTATTTAATTTGCCTTTTGACATTGGACAAGCCCCTTTAACCTCTTTCTGCTTCAGGCAACTGAGTATTGACCAGTTCTTTACAAATAGATGTTATTTTGTTTTTGATATTTATCTTTTTACGTATTTGTCCTCTCCTACAGTTCTAAGCCCTTTGGGTGACAGGGACTATGTTTTATAGCTCTTTATTATATTAAGTGCCCAGTAAGTATTTTATGATGGTCATGAGTTTACTTTTTTTTTTCCCATTTATAATTTAATGCACAGATTTCCTTCTACTAGGTTAGCTTCATAAAGAGCTATGAATCTGATTTGGGTTATGGTGTATTCTGTGGTGTTTTGTTTGTTGAAACAAAATGTAGTTAATTAAACTTAGAAAAATCTGGAAGTCAGTGGATTAGTGTCAACTAACCTAAGAGAGAAGTTGTTAAGTGTGGATTGTGGGAACCATCAGTCAGATCTAGGAGTACATTCAGTCTGCTGGTTAACACTGTTTTGAGTGCACACTTCTCATAAAAGAGGGAGACTTCTTTTTTTATGGCTTTTGCCTTATTTTTAAACATTAACTGATTAAAGATATTACTTTTTCAAGTAGATGTAATAATTATAAGGAAGGAAGGAAAAAAGCATGTTTTAAGTGCCTACCATGTGCCAGGTACCATGCGGTAAGCACTTTACAGATATCTCATTTGATCCTTCTGACGGCTCTGGGAAGTAGGTACTATTATTCCCATTTCATAGTCAAGGAAACTGAGGCAGACAAGTGAAGTCACTTGTCAGGTCACCCAACTAGTCAGCGTCTGAGGCTGGATCTGAACTCAGATCTTCCTAACTCCATACTCAGTGCTCTGAGCACTGTGGCCCCACCAGCTGCCTCTAATTATTAAAAGTTTTTGAAATTAAGCCATCTCTACTAAGTGGAGGGAAGCTGTAAATTTTCCAGAACTTTAGCTAGCACTTCCTTATCTGGTCCTTGTATGATTTTAACACAGATTTTCAAAGAACACAGGAGGCCTGAATAGTAACAACATCTGGCACTTCTATAGGAAGAAGGACAAAATATTGTGAAAGCATTATCTTTGTCTTCAGAACAACCTCTAGGAGTCACATGTGAAGGAGGCAGCCTTGTTTTGTTCTTGAGGAAAGTCAGGCTTGGAGAGAGGCTGATTTGAACCTAGACCCAGCCCTTTTTCACTTTGCTGTGTTGTCTACCAGCTGAAATCTGTATACATTATGTCCATGGAGGCTGCATGTCAGCCCCTTGCTAGTGGGTCTAGGTAATCAATTTTATCAGGTAATTTAATTTTGGGGGGGGGGGCAAAGAAAGCAACTCAGTTATAAAAACAGACCTCATTTTTTTTTTCCTTCAAGGTATTCACAAGTGTTTGGTATTGGTGTGTTCTAAAATAATTAAATATAATTGAAATGTAAATTAGATTGTAAAGTTGACTGTATTACTCCTGGTCTCTCCTTACGGGGAAATAAGTCAGTCCAAACCCTGCAGGGTGCCTGAGTCCTGTGAATGTTTGCATAAGCAGCAACATTCCATTCTGCTTCCAGCTGTTGCTATGTGTTGTAATGTCTCAGTTTCAGGTCTCTGATTTCTCACGTTTCACAGCTACTTAAATACCTACACTTAAAAGAGTTTCTTAACCTACTCATTTTCCCTAGAGGCTTTTTCATTTTAGTGTTGTTCTTCCCCCTGTCTTTTGGCAGACCTGCATGGGCAAGGACGTAACCCTTCACGTCTCAGCAAGCAACTCTGCTATGCTTCTGTACCAAAAATTTGGATTCAAGACGGAAGAATACGTCTTGGACTTTTATGACAAATATTATCCCTTGGAGAGTAAAGAGTGTAAACATGCATTTTTTCTGAGGCTGCGTCGATGAGTTAGATGGAATATGTAGAATTCTGTGAAGTGTGAAACTATGGAACACTACAAGGCTTTCTGCTTTGATCCTTTTATGACTTAAGTTATAAGATCGGTGTGCTTATTGATGCTTATTGAAGCCCTAAGCCACCTGAAGCTAACTGGGACGCTGAGATGAATGGAGTGCAGAGAGCCAGTCTAAATGAATTTTCTGGACTGCTTTTTGGAGAAGCCTTTAGATCAACATCTTGGGACACGTGGGGACACAAAACTGGACAATGCAAAGAGCACTGCCTCTGCTTTCACAGTTGTTTTTTTTCCTTATTAATGTTAACATGGGACATTTTCCATGGGACAAATGTTATAAAAACTTTTGGACAGTTCTAATTGTTAAGAAAGTATTCTTCATGTTGAGCAGAAATCCTTAAAATGTATGTGTCTTTGTAAAGTTTATCTGTAATGCTAGTTGTGCCCTCACAGAATGAATCTTAATTCTTCTTTCTTTTCCTTCTTCCCCTTTAAATAAATGAAGACAATGACCATCTCTCAATTTATACACACCCAAACAAAATCATCTTCAGGCTAAATATCCCCATTTCCTTCAACCAGTCCTCATGTCATGGCTTCTAGGCCTCTCCTCAGCTTGGTCTCAGGATGAAAAGGAAAATATTTAGATTAATAATCATTGTTGAGCTAGAATTTAGTGGTTTTAAAAACTCAAATTAGGTAAAAATATATAGTTGTAGTACTCCAAAAATTGTCCTGTGTTTCTAATAATGACTAAGGAAATAAATTATGGTGTTTGAATAAAGGGAATATGTGGAATTCTGATAACTCCCCAACTTTGGATTGTTTTCACCTGTCACTACTTCAGCCATTTAGGTGGCACAGTTTATAGAGCACTGGTCTTAGAGTCAGGAAGGCTTGAGTTCAAATTCAGACTCGGACACTTTCTGAATGACCCTTTGCAAATCCCTCAACCTCAGAGCTTTTGTTTCCTCACCTATAAAATGGAAGGAAGAAAACAAGCATTTATGGAGTTATTACTAAGTGCTTACTCAGTGTCAGGTATCGTGCTAAGCACGTGGGATAAATATGAGCAAAAGAGATAGTTCCTGCCCTCCAGGAACTTGTGGAAGCAGAAATAGGAAGGGGGGTGGCAGTGGCAGAGCAGGCTTTGGTTTTTGAGTCCAGAGAAGACATCAGGAATAAGGCTCTGGAAGAGAAATGAAGGCAAGCCAGCCTGGGCCCCTTCACAAAGTAGAGACTCCTCAAGGAACTTAATGGGAGGAGAGGGGCAGGCCTGCCAGGGGGTTATGCCAGGCTGCAGAGGTGGGATGATAAGCTTCTCTAGGGCAAGAGGCTTAGGCACCGAGCAAAGTTCTGGAATGAATTAATAGTGAGAAGGGGCATAGTTTTGAAGTCTAGAGGAAGTCAGGAACAGGGCCAAGAGGGCCATCAAAGTGATAATAGCATCTGTCTCAGTTGTGAGGACCACGTTAGGTGCTTTGTAAACCCTAAAATGCTGTATGAAGTGTCAGCTATCATTATTATTACTACTGTAAGTGTGGTTTATGCAAAAGTTTGTTTTGTTCAGAGTGTTTTGTAAGGAGTTTTAAGTAGAGAGTTGGATTTCTCTCCTGTTGTCCTGCCTGATCATGGGCTCATAGATCCTTCCCATTTTGCAGACAAGGAAACTTGAAACCCAGAACTTAAATGACTTGCCTGAGATCACAGATAGGAAAGCTGGGGTTTGAATCCAGTTGTCTGACTCTAAATGCAGTAGTACCCTTCCCATTACACCAATTCATCCAGTCTCTTTTATAAAAGCCATGAAGATTTCTGTAAAAAATTTTCATACACAGGAGGACTGACAACTAAAGCTTCATTCAATCCAAGTCATTACTGCTAAACCCTAGCCAGATAAACCACAGGGAGGAGGGGACACCAAATTGAATCCCAGCTTTAAACATTCTGTTCTAGAGGAGAGAAACAAATTCAATTCCTACCTGGACCGTGGAGTGACAGTCTGCCTAGACTGGGGCGGTACTTTGAAGTCTGGCCACCATTTCAGTGTTTTAATGAATTGTAGTTAGAAGGAGAAAAGTTCAGATTTCCTTTAAAGGAAGAAATGACATTTTTACTTTCTCTGTTTAGCTCTTTAAACTTTTAGGGCTTTTTAATTAACAAATTGTATTATAATTTATTCGATCATAGCTGGGGGGTTTTATGTTTTCCAAATGTGAAAACCTACCTTTAACTGTGACATAAAATATATCATGCCTATGCTTGCTTGCTACAAAGAACAGAGGAAATTTTCCTCTCATCTTGTGGAGAGGAATACCTGAAGATAGTAATCATTGCCTTAATTGTTTCCACTTTTATAGCGGTTGTTTTGTGTGAGTAGTTATGTGTGTTTATGTGTCTATGTATATGTTGTGTATGGGTGCATGTGTTTACCTGTAAGTAAAAAAGTTGGGTTTTTTTTTAAATAGCTCTCAGCAAGGAGAGGCAATTAAAACATTTTATAGCATGGTGCCTTGCACTTAGGTGTTCAATAAATACTGAATTATAACCTCTAAACTTTTGCTGTTTATGAAAATTTGGGATTTACTATGTTTCAGGAGAAAAAGCAAATCTGTCTTTTAAAATTAAAATAAAGTCCCTTCCCCTTCCATTACAGGTGTTACATATAGTATTTTAAAAGAGGCTGGCTTAAGCCTATGAAACAGCTGGACATTTCAGAAGAATCTATGAATGAAGTTGTTGCTATTTGAGTTTATTAAGCAAGATTCCTTTTTTCTGTAAGCCAGTTATTACCTTGAATTATATTGCTCCATATGTTGGAGCCAGCATTAGGATTACCATGGTCAAAAAACCCGTATGTGAAAGGAGAAGCTGATCTGGGCCTGTGCTGAATGGGGAGCGGTATAGACTATTGTCAAATCAATTCCATGAAATCTTGGCAGGTTTGCATGCCTACACAATTCTTTACATTGTATCCCTGTACAAGTGAGGAATAGGCTATGAATGTTCTAGGTTCATGATAGAGATTCTGCTCATGGATTGCTGTTGCTAGAGAGATACACGAAGAAATGTAAATGGCTAAAGAGCAGTGTCCACCTTCACATCATGAAAAAATAAACCATCTATGAGTTATATTTCTGGGAATGCACTTTAAAAAAAAAAGCCCTTTTCCCCAAGGATCTCTTGAGGCCTGTGGGAAATGCTCCAGCTTTTTGTCTCCTGATGGGATACCAGGACATGATTCAAGGGATGGTGCCAAATTTAGAATGCTGCTTTCACAGTGGTAGCACTTTTCCATCAAACGGTATAGTTCTGTTTTTTCCAGCTACAGATAGCTTACATGAAAAATGCCCACAGGACTGAATGCCCTCTATAGGGAAGCTGGATTGAGGGAGAATAGCTCCTACCACTTGTCAGAGGAGTGATTTCACAGTGAAGAGTTTCCATGGGTCTGAGTGTGTTTGTACCAGGCTTGTGGTGACCAGTTGTCACTTCTCTAAAAGTCCATCTCTGGCAGGCAGGGTTCCCAACAAAAGTTGTCATGTGCCAGAGATCTGTGAGGGTTGGGGTCAGGATAGAAAAATGCCCGTGAACCATAACTCTGTTGGAGAAAGCACCAATAGAAGTCATTTAGCTCAGCTGTTCCGTATTCCCTATGAAAAGAGTAATAGAAATGCTCTCTCTCCCAACACACAGAAAAAAAAAACCCATATGTGTTTAAGAAAAAAATAAGGAGGAAGGCATGTTCTATAAATAAGAGTACTCTTAAGGAAATTCCAGTGAATTTAGAAAATAAGAATAGGATTAACAAGGAAGAGGGAAAAGCTGAAGAGCCAAGAAAACCAAGTTCAGTTCAATGCCACCTTCTTTGGGGCTCTGTAACATTTCCCCCTTTGCTAGCATTCCCCCCATTACTTTTTGTTTATTTTGCATATACTTACATGTGTATTACTCAATGGATAGACTTTGTTCTTTGAGGAAGATTTATTTTTTACTTCGTAGGCTAGCAGGGTAATCTTAGGCACACAGTAGGCATTTAATTTCTAATTAGGTAGCATAGCCTAGCCTCAGTTTTGTCCAGGGCCTCGGGTCCAACCTATTGTGATTACCTTGACCATGATCAAGTTACTTGGGTCTCTCAGTGCCACTGGCAAACTAGGGCTGTAAGTGTATGCTGCTGAAATCACAGGCCTAAACAAAAAAGACCTCCAAAATTTAAAACCAAAAACCAAAACCCATCTCATAAGCTCCTAATCTCTGGAACTGTATGCTTTTGTTATGACACATGCATATGCTAGCGAGCGTGTGTGTGTATGGGGGTGTGTGTGTGTGCGCGTGTGTGCACACACACACACACACACACCCCCCATACACACACACCCAGTACCTGGCTTGACCCTAAGTACAAAGTGGTCCTCAATCACTAGGCTATTAAACCGTTATGGCTCAAGACCAAGGCACATGAAATACTCTAGAAATGTCACATTTGTCCTCAGAAGAAATCTTGGTTTGATTTGAAGACGTGGATGGCTGAAAGTGGAGTTATTTGCCAGGTGACTTTTCCAAGGGTGATCTAGGAAGAAACAGGCTGCATCTTTTCTGACTTTAGGCTAATGCTCAGGCCAGTCTTTGTTCTTGCCTAGTTAGGTGATGTTCAAGACAAAGAAGCTTTAATATAAGACTTTTCAGTAACTAAACCCCCTTGGCTAGGGTCCAAGACAGTCCCAACTTAATACTGGCTCATTCTACTCTGTAAATAATAGTACTCTAAAGAAGTTCTAATGAATTTAGAAAATGGGAGTAGGACTAACAAGGGAGAAGAGGAAGCTGAAGAGCTGAGCAAAAAAATCAGTTAAAAGCAAATACAGCCTTCATATTTTGCCAAATTGCCTCTCGTATTTAAAGATAAGTTGAAAACCTATGTCCAGTGAAAGATTTGGAGCTCTGGAAAACAAAGCTTCCTTTGAAGAGGATATCATATGAAGGTTTTTGGAAAAATGAACATGTTTACTCAGTTTAGGAAATTTTGGCCTGAACTGTGACATAGTTATCTGTACTGTACTTGCAGGCTCAGTAGAGCTATGGCAGCAAATGAGGATCAAAAAGGTTAGAATTTCATTAAAACACACGCGCATACAGACATAGATACACACACACACACACACACACACGTATGCACGCAGCAGAACGTGAGGATTCTATGTGAAATCATGACTCCATACTTCTTATATATAGAGCCTTATGAACTGTGCATTTTAAAAATGTTACAATTATTGTTTTGGGGTGTCGCTATTTTAAACTTTTTTATTTTATTTTTAATTTATGAAATAAAGCATTTCCATAACAATTTAAAAAAAAAACGATTGCACTATTACTAAGCTTCCAACTCCCTCTCCCCAATTAAAAACTGAGAGAAAAAAACTTATGAAAAATAAGCATAGGCAAGCAAAATGAATCTATACTGTGGCCATGTTCAAAAGTTTGTCTCTACGCTTTGTGTCCATCAACTGTTGGGAGGGGGGTAATTGGACTTTGCATTGATCAGAATTCTTGAATCTTTCAAGGTTGTTTTTTCTTCCTAATGTTTCTGCCCTTGTATAACTTGTTTTTGTTTTGCTCACTTCTCTCTGTATCAGTTCATACAGCTTAAGATTCTATGAAATATTCTCTTTCATAATTTCTTGCATAATAACCCATTATATTCATATTCCACAATTTGTTTAGACATTACTCAATTGTCTAAGAGACTATTTTAGGCAGCCCTTTAGATTCTAGTTCTTTGCTTTTCTTCCACCCCTCTTTAGTCCACCCTTCAGGATCAAGAAGTTTCTTTTGTTTGGGACTATTTTCTTTTTTATATTATCTTTCTTCTTAATCCTTACACACACACACTCCAACCCCTCCCTTCCTACACACATACCCGATTGTTTCTTTGTTGAATTTTGTTATATTTCTACAGCAAACTCTGTTGGTGTCTTCACCTATCCTTTGTCCATTTTAGATATGTGAGATTCATCTGATGCTGATGCTCACTCCCCCCATCCCCTCATCCGTGTTTGTATACTCCTTATGCACCCCAATACCCCAATGTCTCTGGAGGGGAAAGTGAGGCTGATGACTTTGCACAGCTGTGCTTTACTTAAATCTAATTCACTTAGAAGTTGAGACATCACCCTCCTGATGTCATTGGTCCTCTTCAAGAATGAAGTACCAAAAAAAAAGTTAAAAAAAAAAGGGGCAGCTAGGTGGCACAGTGGATAGAGTAATAGCCTTGGATTCAGGAGGACCTGAGTTCAAATCCAACCTCAGACATATAACACTTATTAGTTGTGTGACCTTGGGCAAGTCACTTAACCCCATTGCCTAGCCCGGAAAAAAAAAAAGCGAAGTACAAACAATAATTATCATCAGGAAGAGAGGGTCCTGGAAGGAAAAATAGGGATGTTATTTCTCTCTCTCTCTCTCTCTCTCTCTCTCTCTCTCTCTCTCTCTCTCTATATATATATATATATATATATATATATATATATAATATATATGTATTATATATATGTGTATGTATATAATCTCAATATCTATATGTATGTCTTTCTAGATATAGATATAGATAGATATTGAATGGCCATGAGTGCCCAGAACCAGTAGGGATTCTTAGTTGGAGTGAGATACTCTAGCTTTCTCTAACTCTAGTAGTGCCATGAGGGGCCAGCTTTCCCATAATGCTCTCCTATGTCAAGTTTCTCCTCAGAAGGAGAGCAGTGGGCAAGGATTGAGCTGGATGTTCCATATACGATTTGACCACGAGGCCTCAGAACGAAGAGAAAGCCCGTTGAGTTCCAGCGGCTTCTTGGTCTTAGCAGTACCATCAATGTCCAACCTTGCCTACTTTGCTCCTTCCACAGGTTTCTCCTCACCACGGAGAACCAGCAGGAGAAGATAGGAATGTTTTATATAATGTGTGTGTAGCCGAGTGTCACCATAACTAGTAGGAATTTTCAACCAGAATAAGTTGTTCTGGCTTCTGACGCCAGAAGTACCATCAGGGGCCAGCCTTGCTGTAAATGATATAATGTAAGGATGATATTGGACCAACTGTACAACTCAATTCATGGCAGGGCAAAGTTTCAGTCTATAAGCACTGAGTTAAAATATGGCCCCTCGTGGAAGTTGGGTACATTGGGTGCTTCACAGTCACATATTAAGAAATGTGGGGACAGCCTGGTGGTGCAGTGGATAGAGCACCGGCCCTGAAGTCAGGAGGACCTGAGTTCAAATCCAGCCTCAGACCAAACACTTGACACTCACTAGCTGTGTGACCCTGGGCAAGTCACTTAACCCCAATTGCCTAAAAAAAGAAATATGAGTGAGGAGCTGTATACAGGTTTCTAATTTAATTTTTCACTCTGCCATCTTGGCTCTGTCCTCCCTAATTTAAATTTTCAATGAACAAAAATTTGTTTTCTCTACCTCCTTCCCTGCCCCCCATTCAAAAGAAAAAAACTCTTGTAACAAATATCCACATCCATGTCTAAAAGTGTATGCCTCATCCTGTAGTTAGGTGGTACAGGGGCTAGAGCATTGGGCTTGGAGTCAGGAAGACCTAAATTCAAATCCAGACTCAGACATTTAGTACTTGTGTGACCGTGGGTA